CATCCAATGGCCTAAGCCAGCAAACACAAGTAAAAATTAAGTTCGGCCGGGACGAACTTTTAATACTACCCTCCACCATTGGCTAAAGAAAAGTTATTCCTGATGGAATTCAAGCGTGATAGTGTGATTTCTTTATATTTGGCTGGAAAACCCTGAACATATCGAAAATATCAACATTCGGCAAATATTGAAAAACAAACAAAATGATGATCGCTTCATTTCCAGCGCACAATGGCCAACAAAATCTCCGGATACCAGACAGACAGACAGACAGACGGATAGACAGACATCTTTAAATCGACTTAGAATTTTATGCTGATCATGATTATATATACTTTAGGGTATAAAAAGCTCTTTATGCTAACCTTAAAATCTGGCAATCCTTTTTCCAAATTTTCAACAAAGAAATAAGGGCCAGCTGTTGCAACAAATACCTTTTTACCACCATATCACAAACTTCCCCCTCAACGACCCTAAACAGCGGGCACAAAAATGTATATAGGTGGGCTGGGTTCTCTTTTTAATTTCGGTACCTCTTATAAATACTTTCGTAACATTTGCATTGGTCCGAGCACAACCAAATAACAACACAAACAACAACTACATTAGAAGTTGAAAAAAAGCTCTCTTCAATGACAGACAGCACCATCTGTTTTGCAAATGCAAGGCAAGATAACTGCAGTCAGCTCTTGTTCTTCTTCCACCATATTGTCATCATTCGGTCAGTTTTGTTGTTGCTGATTGTTTTTTCTCGTGAGAGAAACAGAGATAGAGAGCAGGCTGCAGCAGCAGCAACAACGACACCAACGATAAAAAAAACCAATGATGTGGATGTTTTTATTTTGTGTTTGAGACTCGGTCGGTGAGTGTTTGTAATAGCTCGTTCGGTTGAGACTGTGTCATATTGTTGTTGCTAACTAAGTTCCTATGTTAGTTAGTTGGATGTAGTTGTTGCTGCTGTAAAAAAAAGTAGAAACCAAAGCAGAAAAAATAACAAACAACAACAAACTTTTGCAGTGGGAATGAAGTCATGGAAAAATTATTGCAAGGCAAGTAAGCGTGTCAGCAGAAATACAAACACACACAAACTTGTATGCATTGATAAACATAAAAAAACACAACCAACAACAACAAAGTAATGCAAAGTAAACTTCTCGGCAAGAATAGCAAAAACAAAACAACAACAGCAGCCATAAAGAGAATGTGAGAGCTGCTGATACAGGCCCACATAAACTACTAACCATGGCAACAACGCAACACATCACCGCCACTATTTGATGATGCAGCAAAAACAATAAAAGCAACAACAACAGCCACTGTAACGACAGCAACAATATCAGCAAACATCTAATATTTGAACAAAACAAAAGTGTGCTACATTTGAGACGAGCAACACCACCACCGCAACCTCTTTTTTTTGTTTGGATTATTTGCAGCAGCAACAAGAACGCCGTTGTTGCCGACACTTTTAAGTTTTATCGTTGCTATTGTTGTTGTTGTTGTTGCTATTGCCTTTGAAAAGTAATTCTAACAAATGTAGAAAAATAACGATAGAGAAAAACAACAGCGACTCAAAATAAAAACTGCAACGGTATGCAGTTAGTGAGCAGCAATATGTTGCGCTTGGTTGACTCAAAGGTAACGAATAACAGCAGCAACAACAACAAAAATGCAACCATGTATGGCTGGTACAGTGGTACAATGCAAATGACATATCAGTAAGTTAGGTTTGTTGTAGAGCGAAACATTTCGAAAACCATTAAATGGTTGAGATACAGAGGTTTCATACTAGGAATTTAAAGGTTTTACATTTCCAGAAGTTTTATGATGAGCAAAAATACTAGAGGTGTGATCAGGCCTTCAAAACTATATCCAGCCCTTTTCGTTCATCTAATTCGTTTAGTTCAAATATTAGTTCTTAGTTTAGTTCTAGTTAGTTCAAAATTTCAGTAGTGTTAACTTTGAAAACCAAAATTTTTATATAAAAAAGAAGTTGAGGTGGAAAACAACAAATTTCGTTCATTACCGAAATTATAAGCATTTTAATTTTACCGGCTTTTGTCGGTAACTCAAAAAATGAGTTAGAGAATTCCACTCCAGTTTTAGTTCTTTTAGTTTAATGAATATGTTCTATGAATAAACGATTGAAGTAATAAGAAATACAGAACTAAAGGACGGATTGATGATAATAAAGGAACTGATAGAGATAAAATGAAACGACTGAACAAAAGTGAACGTTTTTTTAGTCAAAGTATTGACCAGTACCAGCTAATTTACAAACCCTTGGAACATGTATAAAAGAGTAAAATGATTATTTGATTTATATGTCCGATGATACTTTTTAGTCCACGTTGGACGCCATTCATTTTATATACCCTTGCATATGAATATGTGACTGAAGTCACTAAAGAAAATATTGACAGGGACTTATTATAGAACATTAAAATATCAACAATTAATTAAAATTATGATTTTTATAAGTCAGTGGTTTAGATTTTTTAACAACCAAATTCAAACCAATAAATCCCGTTCTCATTATTTGTCACATATTTTGAAATGTTATCAAATATGTCAATTAGGGTATAGTCGGTTCGAAAAGTTGGCGAAACTGAGGATACATACATCGGTCAAGGTTGACCTTTGCGCGCTCTATCCTTAAGGAAATTAATAGTTATGAAACCTTACTGTTTTTTGCTCTGAATTGACTAAAAATGGGTATAATATTTTATCCGAGACATGAGATATCACCGAATAACAATGGGATCATGAAATGTTTGTGGATTAATTGGATAAAATCAGTCATCCCGTTAAAATAAAACGGCTGCATCGAAAACCATGGCCTCGAAAAAAATTTGCCCAGAAATGGTTGCGTGTGAAATACGTTACATGCCTATATTCACCCATTTTTTTTAACGAACAGAGATAAACTGCAGCTTTCAGACCATAAACCGCAGTGTTTGGTGAAGAATTCTCCCCGACAACCAACCCGAAAACCGTTCAGGTATGGGTCCATGCACCAATAATCGCCGTGTAAATTATATGCTTAAAATAAACGGGGGTAACCCCCATCGTATTTTCCTTAGTCCAGTCGCTGAGAGAAATAAATTTCTGCGAAGAAATCTGACCCCCGAAATTGATATAAATCTTTGTGAATATATTCTTTCAAAATATTTTAACAAATTCAATAACAAAGTTAATTATTCGATATCACTATAATAGCGCTCTCTATAGTCGAATTGACGTAGAGTCCGGGCAGAAGTCGATTTGTTTATGTGGTGTGTCACACGTTCTGAGTCGAATTATAAAAAAAAGTAAAACAGAAATTTTACGAGTATTTGTATTTTTCTCTTTCAAATACTTTCTTTAAATCGGGGAAACCTAACACCAATGTTGAAGTGACTTTTAGACTTTAATTTATTGGTACTTTATGCTAAGGTAATCAAACTTTTGCCAACAATTGGTCTAGTGTGAAACCTTATTTTAAAGGTATAAGGTTTTTTTTTTGTCATGGGAGTTATTTTAAAATAACTTCTGAGATGATTATCCACGACAAAAAGGAAGGGAACTGATGAGAATTGTTGGCTCTTCCTGAAACCTAAGTATTCCCTGCCTTACCCCCTGGCAAACATTACCCCATCGTTTTCCACTAATAAACAAACGTTGTTTTTATAAAAGCAATAATAATGGGATTAAATCTATTTTGCAAAAACGAAAAACTCAAAAATGATTTTTTAAATTTGTTCCATATCCACACTTCTGACACAATTACAAAATATTTTATATTGCATGAAACAAATCATCTCTCAGATTATGAATTGTTTATTTCTAAGTCAAAAAAATATTCCAATTTTCAAACGATTTTTTTTATTTCTTAACTTTTTTATGATAACTTTTTTGTGTAGATATCTCAAAATTTACAGTATATATCGAAAACTGACCACTTTCTGAAAGATCGTAAAAAATACACTTTTAAAAAATGGAAGTTTTTTTGTTGTATCAGTATCCCATTTTTCGATATCTGAATTTTGGAAAGAGTGCCATCTAGTTTTGACATTTTTCATGTTCCTGTTTTTTTAGAAAAAATAGTACGTCCTTTAACCCATTACAATTTATTTGACTAGGAAGCAAACCTATCGTAATATAACGTATTTAAAAAGACACCTCCACCCCATATCAATAAAAAAGGACAGTTTCTGTTACGCATATTATGGGCACTCCCACAACATTCACTAATTTGTTGTTAAAGTCCAGTTATGGGAACCATTATTTTACGATACCCTAATTGGGTACAAATTCTGTATGTATTAATCAAAAATAAAATTATTCAATTATTCCTAACTCATTAAGAGCCACTGTGCACTGATAAAACTGTGATGAATACATGGACACGGATGGTTGGTTGGATGGATGGGTGGATGGATGCACGATTACGAGGTGGCAACACATGATGAAGTCTCAAGCTAAACTTAAAGAGAAATAAAAAAAAAAACAAACTTATGACGTTATATGAAACGTAAAGAAAGGAATTCTCTGGCGTTTGATTTAGGTTGACTTGCTCCGGTTGGATGGTTTGGCACGCAAAATTTTATTGTTTTGGCAAAATGATAACTTATAATTGGAACTTGCTTCCCAATTATAAATTGTGCCGCTTTCGAGGCAGCGGATTAAATTTAGAAACTGTTTATTTAACTGCACATCAAGGAACCGTCACAAAATATAACACAAAAACAATATAGGTGTAATCAGGTTATCAACATTAACGTATACAGAGGGATAGGTACCCACAATAATTTGATACCTATCTATTTATAAAACTTTACAAACACACAACAAAGACTCGTTTTCCAGCTTAGTTAAATAAGCCTTAATCTACTTCTTTTTTTGTGTGTTCTTTCGAAGTGGAATATATAATTTTAGAGGTATAGGTTATTTTTATCCCAAGAGGTTGTCGGTTTTTTGTTGTTATAAATAAATTGAAGAACTTTGAACACTTTAATTACCACAAAATATGATTTTAAACTAGCAGAATTTTATTTTATTTATTTTTAAATATTTTTTTTTTATTTCTTGGTCTGCAGAAATCTCACAGTATTTGTATTTATTTATTTTTCTTTCTCTTCTATTTATATTCTTCTTTGTGTTTTCATATTATTCACACAGTGTAAATTGTATTTTTTTTTTTTTTTTTTTTTCAGAATAATTGTTTCACTGTTGGTAGGTAATTTTGTAATTATCGTTTTTTGGTTTTCTTTATTTCCAAAAAATAACAACTTTCGTTTAACGAAATTTTCACAAAAATCAAGTTAAAAAACAAAAACAAAGTTTTTATTTTTTCTTTATTTCAAAACAAAACTAAAAAAATCAAAGCAAAAAACTATCGTTTTTTGTTGTCTTCAATCATCGTCGCGCTCACACACACGAAAAATAAAACAATTTGAAAACGTTGAGCAGAACAATAGTGGCTGCACACGTATACGTCACGTTACGTTAAGATTCCGCGCGTACGTAACCCTATATTTCCAAACCGTTATGACCCAAACATGCCAAAAGAAGATTTCATACTGAAGTGACTTGGCTGCCTGGCTGGCTGACTGACTGGCTCTCGTCTTGTTCTGTTGTTTCTGTTTACGGATGTGCCGTTCGTTCGGCCTCAGTTCTGCCAACGTTGACGTCCGATGCTCTCAGCAAACAGACATCGCTGGCAGAGAGACACCGAACACAGTGGAGATACTCAGAGCCGGTGGTTGTGTATTGTGCATTATGTTGTTGCCACAAAACCAGTCAGCAAAAAAAGCCACAACAGCAACAACCACTTTACACAAGCAAAAACAAGCACACACACACATAATACAAAAACAAATGCTACACGAAGAAAGTAAACACTTCGATGTTCATGGCTGCTGACTCATGAGACTCTTTAAAATGCACTCTTGAGAGATGTTTTGAATAGAAAAATAAACAAATAGTTGCCAGATATTTTTTCGGAAACGGGTATCACAAAAAAGCTAAGGCACTGTTGCCAGATAAATGTGGCAAACTTTATAGGACATGGAGTCTTAAAGAGTTTAAAATTCATTCTTTTTAAGGTCCCACATCGTAAGGGACAATTAATTCCTCCAATTCTTATTAATATCGGTTTAATTTCAAACGATCGAAGCACCCATTTTTTTTTAATTTCAAACGATCGAAGCACCAATTTTTTCCAACGGCTTGTATATGTCCTATCGAATTTAAATCTTATGATTTGTGCAACGTGTGCTATTTTTTTGAGATTATTGAGTTTAATTCAGGGAAGCATTCTATAGCTTTGATATTTTGCTCAGACATTTATATAACCTCTAGCTAACTTAAATCATGTATAACTTGACTTTTGGAGTTCTGAATAGATATAATTTCTTCATGCTAAAAAGATTTAAGATTGTTCCACTATTTGGTACAGGTCTCATGTTACCGTACCTCACAATTTTAAACCCAATTGAGATGATGCACATTCTTGAACAACGTCTGCAGTATGATCATTATAATGCTGGATCTATAATATCAACAGATGAATCTAGATTCCAATATAAACAACGTGCCCCAGTTTGCATGTGATCATTATTATGCTAGAATTATAATGATTCCTAGGTCCATGATGTCTACAGGCTACACTGGATTCCAATAAGATTTTATACTTACCACGATCCATTATGTCCGTGACAAAAACTAAAATTTTCAGTCAGATGACGAAATGGTGCCCAAAGAATAACACTTGCAGTGTTTTGTTCTCCAAAACAATATTATATACTGTATTTGGTTTACCTGCATTTTGGGGTTTTCCGCTTTCAAAAAGCAATGTTAGCTTATTTCTCAGTTTACATGTAAATATTTTGTTTTTGTGCTCATTTGTATACCCTCAGACATATGGCTAGAGAGGGTATACATCATTTGATACGGTCAAAATGTGCCTCAACGGCACAACGGTTTTAGACCCTAGTTCTATTGGACCAAATCCGTTTCAGGACATTTGAAGTGCAGATAGCGATGTCCGTCTGTCTATCTGGCTGGTGCGCAAAACTCTCGAAGGGAGTATCCGATATGGTCCAAACATGGTACATCGTAATATTATTATCAAACTTAGATTGAGTTCGGAAGTGGACAATATCGGTCAACTCTTTTTGGTACCTTCTCCATAAAGGTCGACATTTTCAAAAAATATTTTCTGTACAGAACTCTCGAAGGGAGTATCCGATATGGTCCAAACATAGTACATCGTAATATTATTACAAAACTTAGATCGAGTTCGAAAGTGGACAATATCGGTGAACTCCTTCTGGTACCTCCTCCACAAAAGGTCGACATTTAAAAAAAAAATATTTACTGCACAGATAGGGCACTGCGACGTTGCTCCAACTTTGCAAATCTTAATATTTGCATAAGTGCTAGGTCAGGTGCGAAAAGTGTCAAAATTTTGAATAATTCGAACTCTTGTTAAATGTGATGTATTTTCTTCAAATTACACACATCACAATAATTTTGTTAACTCAAAGTCTGGTGTGAAGAAGGAATATATCGGCCCACTCCTTCTGGTACCCCCCAACACGAAATTAAAATCCGATTTCATTCAGATTTCCATCAACACATAATCTGTTATAAAGATTGTTTAGATCGAACCATTTTTTCGGTCACCTCTCCCACATTGGGTTCAAGGGTTCTAAAAATTATCACATATCTCATAATAGAAGTCAAAATATATTTAAATAATCGAACATTGGCTGAGGGTATAAATCTGAATGCAACACCGACTGATACTTTTTAACTTTATTGGTTTATTACTGAGTAATGAGTAACGTCAGTACAGATAGTCCGCGTCCGTCTACAAAATAAAAAATTTTGAGTTCGAAACTCATCGTCGGCAAAAGAAGACAAAAATTAAGAAATATCATGTCTTCTTTTTGGAGTTAAAAAACTTGAAAACTCGAAATCGTAGCGTGTTTAAATGCAAATCCGGAACAACGACTTCAACCAAAACCAAAATGAAACCATTAAATCTGGCAACATTCATATTGAAGAGAGCATGGTTGGCAACACAAACTGTTGGCTCTCTCCCAGTTTGGAAACTACAAAACATATGATTTTGAATAACCTAAAAACAACAAAACTAAGTCTGAGTTACTTCTCTTTAGTTCTCTATTGGCAAAAAAGCCCCTACCAAAATAGAGAGCAATAAACTCTTAGTATCATCGATTCTCCCACAACAACCAACCATATGATTTTGAATTTCATCACATGTTCTTTGTTGCCAAACACACTTGTCATTGGATATGGGGGCAGGTTTGAGGATTTCTCAGAGAGTGTGTGTATGTGTGTTAGTTGACAACTGCACCATTTGACGATGATGACATAGCCTTTTTTTCAATTTATTAACATAATTCTATCCATGATTTAATGTTGTTGGTGTTTTTTCTCTTCATTTAATTTCACCATGATCGAAATCGAACATTGGCTTCGCTGTCAATATATATTTTTTCTTTCTCATGGCAAGGAAACTTTTGAGGTTTTTTTCCGAGGCAATCACTACGTGATTAGAATCTATAATGTGGTCCACATGGAGCCATCATAAACTATGTCGGTACCTACTACATGAGAACGAACTTGGCCATCCTCTCTATAACAACAACAACAACAATAAAGCCAAACAGCCAACTAACCAGCCAACATCATTTCCCTTTTGATGCCTTGTCGTGGCTGCTGTTGTCAACTTCTGTTGTTTGTTCACAATTTTAGTTTTTATTAATACATTTTTTTACTTCGTTAGCACATGTGTTGTCCCCAACAGCAGCAACAACAACGCAAACCACATTTGTAGTCGATTCGATAGATGACAGAAGGTCCGTCCGTCCCCCTATTAGAAATCAAACACAACTATTATTAACGTCATGTTTGTGACCAACAAACATTCTCTCGGCTATGTTAGGTGCATTTTAATAGTGGAGAATAGTTTGAGAAGCCAAGAAACACAATCATGCATACGTTGTAGCCATGGTTATTAGAGCAAGAGGCTAAGGGAGTAGAAATAGTGATTCAAAAAGGGGAAATTATAACATAAATTACGAACTCGGGCCATTAGTAGGGTTAGGTTAGTTTCTAATGCAAAAAAAAAAGTTTGGCAATACACTTTCAATACCAGATATGTATAATTTTAATGCCTAGAAACCTGCACTATCCACTCTATCCCTATAAGCCAAAGATATTGATGTAGTGTAAGTTTCCGGTGCTGGTTGGAGTGCAGTTAAAACTTTGACAATGGCTATTTTTATCATGTTGTGTATATATCAAATGCATTTCTGCGTATTTTCTGATGTGATTAGTGCGTCAACCATTGACTACCGGCATTGCGATATTCGGTTACTGATCATGAACATGTGACTGAGCTTGGGTGCATTGTGTTCCCCGATAATCCACCATTATAAAAACCACATCCTTACTAAAAATCCAGCGACATATGTTTCAAAACTCAGATTTGAAGAGGATGAACTTTTCACGAAGTTCACTCTCCACTCTATTAGAGCTCCCGAGATACTCCTATTTAAAAATTACTGTGGGAGTCGAAATGCTCGAAATAGAGGAAGAGATTTTTCTAAGAGTTAGTTAAAAATAGTGTTTGTTTTGTTTTCTGATTTGTATGCGCATGTGAGTGTAAGAACAATCGGCGGGTGATAAAAAACTGCAACAAAGTCAAACGCCATAATTTTTACACTTTTTTTAATTTTATTGAATGAAATCCAAAATGTTGGAAATAACATCAAATTTAAGAATAAGTTTAGATTTGTTCGAATTGGTCACGAATTTTGGCCTTCAAACGAAACCGCCACACGCTGCCGGAATGTTGCTCTGCGGTATTTTGGCCCATTCCCGGCGAAGCGCTTGTTTGAGGTGTTCGACACTTTGGGTTTTTAGTACCAACCTTGCTTTCCAAAATACTCCAGACACAATAGTCCAGCGGATTGGTATCCGGAGATTTTGGTTGTCATTGTGTGCTGGAAATTAAGCTAGTAACCTCATTTTGTAACCATTCTTGGGTGACGCGTGCTGAGTTCTGTTTGAATGTCCAAAGTCTGCGGCCAAAATGTTTGCGTGGCCAAGGCTTTTATACGCCATTTAGAATATTTTCGCGATAATATATTCGGCATTCACTCTGATGCCACGTTCGATTAATACGAGCGGAGAGCGACCAGCGGCTGTTATGGCGGACCACACATCATCATGGCCGGTGCTTGAGTTTTGGTGGCCAACCGGAGGTGCACATTTTCAGCTGACCTCTTTGGCAAGTAAACACGATCTTTTTTTTTTTTTTTACAAACTGCTGGACAACGAATGTTTTCTAATCGGAGAAACCCAAATTCGGTAGTTCACCACATTCGGCCAAGCGAAGCAACTCTTTAGCTCCTTTGGGTCGATTTTCTTTCTGTTGCGGTGTAAGTTCTTGTAATTTTTGGAATTTCAATGGCAGCTCATTTTTCAATATTTGCCGAATGGAATATTGCGATATGTTCAACTCATGAGCCATTTGTAGGCCACTTCGACGCGGGTTTCGATCAAGTCGCTTCTTCACTTTTCGAAGTTGTTGCGAAGTTTGAATGTTGCTGTTTTTCTCCGTCCACTTCCGTGACGTCGAGCTATGCTACCAGTATCACGGTAACGAGCGATAATTATGTCACCTGATACTAAAAATTAATTTTATTCGTAGAAAACCTAAAGGCGGTTCAGCTAACGCCCTGAAGGTCCTTTGCTTTGTTAGGAAATTCATTCTTTAC